GGAGGGAGGGGGGGGGATGGAGGGATTAAAGTGCAAGGAGATGAAGTAGGTCATTGGGTTAGTGACTCTACTATACTAAGTTTTAGCTTTCACCATCCTTTATCGCCATCAAAACACGCAAGTGGAATCATATATTTTAATCGCCCAGATCTCGTCAATTTCGTTTAATTAATTCCAACCACCCTCGTGGGAGGGGGTCGAATTTAATCGAATACAAAAACATCAACTGCGTTTAAACGAATCCCTGCGTGAATGGCAAAAAAGCAAAACAAAGGCTCAGAAACACAACAGTAGAATGATCATATTATTGATGGATCCTCGCGTTCACTAGAGTTAAAAGGTGTACTGAGATAGGTGGTTATGATTCCACTAAGTGTAATAAAAAAACGTCGTATGATACAAAAAGTGAGGCTGCAAACTACTATAGCTATAGTTTTTAGGACGTAGAATTCACGAAGCACAATTAAAAAAACGAAGCCATGAGAAAACAATGAAACGGTGATTAGCATAAAATGATGGTTAGCTTAAGAGGCGCGGTGTTATTCACACATAATGTGATTATGCAGGAATTTCGTATAGAAATAAATATTAAGAAACCCAAACCACATTGCTTCATAATCAGAAATGCAACCTACCTCCTTATTAAGATCTCCGCACGTCGACGTATTATTCAACAACGTGCTAAGCTACCTTCATGCTAACTTTATTATACATTACTAGGAGGAGGTTTACGCACGATTCTAATTCTGAATAGAAAAAAAACCTGGGTACTCTACTCACTCCATCCTTTATAAAAACGAGTGGGCTAATAGTTGAATACTTTAATTTTTAAGGCAGGGCGATACCCCTTAATCCGTCTCTAAATATATGCCCTCCTTAAACGAAGATTTGAATCCACAATCGCACGCGCGGCAAAATATAGTAGGCAATTAGTAAAGACGACTTGTTCCATGAAACAACCTTAAGTTATAAACTATGTGTACCGATGGTTAAGTGATCAAAATGAATGACTATCGAACCGGAGATCATGATTTCAATGTGAATATTGATGACCAAATTTATAAGCTATTTCCTTTGAGGAGAGCAGACGACAAAATGAAAGTTTCCTCCAAAAAGGATAAAAAATACTAAACCTACGTTAAAAAGAGCTAAGCTAAGTTTTACCCTTTGCGTTTGCACTTAATAGAATAGATAAATTATGAGCGCATAAATTAACTATGAGAGAAATGGTAAATTCATGAAAGGAAATTAATTCAAAACGAACCAATGGCTCAATAATTAGGTTATAAATTTATGAGCATATGTTCCGGAAAAACAAATTAATAAATTTTAAAATTATCAATCAACATTTAGTAGAAACAAAATGATGATCCTAAGTGACTGCATTCAAGAGTAAACGGAAAGCATGTGATAAAATTATGCTGCAATAAATTTTTACACAGTGGCAAAGAGAAATCAAGTGAATCAATAGTAGCAAATGCTAATGGAGCTTATTGAGAAGGACTAAATCGCCACATTCTTAGAAAGTCATTAACCAAAACAAGAAATAAGTTAAATAAGACAGAAATTTACTGATACTGGTAAAATAACTGATATGTTCATGTTGACGGATTACTGAATATCAAGAAAATTTGGATTCCAACAAAAACCATCAGATGCATCAGATGTGTGCTAGTTGCTTAATTAAAATACAAACAGAAAATAAAAAAGTATTTGTCATCCAAATGCAATAAATGAGAAAATGATAAAAAATCTATTCCAATGCCTAAATCTAAAATTAGTAGCCTTGTGAGCCAAGAGAATTAATTCACTAAATTAAAAAAGCATAAGAAGACAATGACGAACCTGATGTGCCCGGCAAATCAAATCGAAGTCATGTTTTGCCAGGAATTTTACGACAATATCGGCGCCAAAAGTGTAGCTGACTCCACGATCATTTTCGCCCCAAGACACCACATCTTTGTCGGGATCGGACCAAAGAAGATCGCACAATAATCCCTGATCTGGTACATCAACCGGTCTTTGAATTTTTCGAATTTGATCCATTGAGTGCAAATCTGGCGAAAGACCTTAAGCAATTGTAAGTAAAAGTGTTGACCAAACCTCCATGACAACAGAATATTTTCTCATCTATGATTGCAGCAATAGGAAGACAATTAAAGCAGTCTGTAAATAACTTCCACAATTTGATATTATATCGTCGTTTACCTATGAAAGATATAATATAAATGAAAATGACTAACATTCGTCATAAAACCCATAGATGCGGTTAATAGAAGCACATTCATGATTTCCTCGAAGAAGGAAGAAATTTTCGGGAAATTTGATTTTATACGCAAGTAGAAGACAAATTGTTTCGAGAGATTGTTTGCCTCGATCAACATAATCACCAAGAAAAAGGTAGTTGGCGGAGGGGGGAAATCCACCATATTCAAAAAGTCTGAGCAAATCATAATATTGTCCATGAACGTCACCGCATATTTTAACTGGGGCCTCAAGTTCGAGTAGTGTTGGTTGTTGTAAAAATATATCCCGGGCTTTGATGGTAAGCGCTCGAATTTCATTTTCAGATAGTTGAACAGTTTTACCAGGCCTTGCGCCACGAACTGAATAAAAATAGAAATAATATTATTTATAATCCTTACCATCCAATAGCTTATTTATGACATGATCAACGTTTAGTTTGCCAACATCTGACATCGTAAATGGTCTATCAACGGATACCACAAATTGGACTTCGCAATAGACGCCAACTAAATTGACCTAAAGTAACCATCTTGGTTTATTTTAACACAGAATTTCAAATTGTTTTGACAAATATAAATAAAAATATTACATCTTTAGAAGATTATTAAAATTAATTTAGTATAAATAAATCCAAGTCAACAATATTGGCCAGATTTGTAAATGAATAAAGTTTAAAAAAAACAGGAAATAGTCCTATCGAGTCATTTTTAAATCAGATATGCCTTCATTGATAATGCCTTTAGTTTATAAGTCATATTTTAGATCAGCATGAGTTTATTTAACTTTGACTTTATTTTTACTCGTCGAATAATTACTGCTATTGATTCTTAATAAAATCTGCAACATAGTTACCAACATGAGAAGACTATATTCCTTTTCAGCTTTGTTTAAAACAATCAAATTGGAATAATTTAAAGGGGAATTTATATTGAAGGGTATTGACTAGGGCTTATTATAATTTTAAAATTTTAGGAATTATAAGCGTTGATATTTGCCTATAGTCTAAATGACCACAATCCGCATCCTTAGACTCAAATTTTGGATGATACGCATTAGTTGCAAAGGAGTTTCCTTTCTTAAATGGTTTTATTTGAAAATAATTAAAAAACAGTGGGGTTGTTTGTAAAAAAAATATGATGTTCAGGTTCCAATAAGCCCATTGGTCCCTCAAGTTATTGATATATTAGGCAAATCTCAATGAAAGATGCTTTAACAAACCATTGATAGTTCGATATACCTCATGCTGTAAATTCATGAATCCAGAAACATTTGAAGTAGTTTTGAGTACATTAAAATTATGGCTCTCATTAGGATAAAATACCTCATGATCACATTTCGATTTCTCAGAGTGTGATATTGACAAGAACATAGTACATTCATCGGACAAAGCAGAAAATCCTTCTCCCAAAATCGTGTCATTAAAGAAAAGCTATTACTTCTGTTTTTCAAATGATATGTTACATTTACAATACCGACTGCTCAATTAAGCCATTTGCTAAATTAACAATATTTATCTTCAAGAACTTCATATATATATATATATATAACTTTATGGATCTCAAGCAAATTATATCTAGCGCTGTGCCTGCGCGACATGGAGACCCAAAAGTGTACTAATAATTTAAAATATTATGATGACCTCCTACTGGGGGATGCCAAAAATACTGAATTACACGACAAGTTATCTAGTCTTCGTCAAATTCTCTGGAGAATTATATACAATTGAGTTTATTTTGCATTAATTGATTTCAGTAAAACAGCGCTTAGAAATATAGACTTTGACAAATATCAATGATAATTCCGTTTACATTAAAACACAATTTGGAGAGTAATTTCTGTAATGAATTACGTAGTCATTAAGTTACTAAATACTTTAAATCTACGTTGATTTAAATCAACGAGATTGACTCAATTGTCTAAGAAGTTACTGTTCTATAGAATAAAAGTACTTACCTCTCAGTTAAATATCTAATACGAAGTGCAACAAACTCCAAATAAAGGTACAGACAAAAATTCACTTCCTCCCTCCATTAGAATCATTATAATAATTGATATAATTACCATTTTATCGAACACATTTTTTATGAGTATTTATTTATATCAAATGGCAGGCGTGTTGATGGCTATCACTAGCCTTTAGTTGACTTCAGGCTTCACAGAGGGGAAGGAACATCAAATTGAAAAAAAGTCGAGATGGGGGGGAGGGAACAGAAGAGTGTTTCAAAGATGTAAGAGGCAAACGCAAAGGTAAAAAAAATGAGGTGAATACTGTGGAAATAGTCAAATATGGCATAGAGTGAGGTAATGGTAGTTTGAAGTGAAAAGTCAACTGCCAGTTAATAGACTTTTTTACCGTATGAATATACGTTGCCCAGAGTGCACCACATGGAGGTAAATCTATCGCACACCCCTTGTTTACGAATATCAGCTGAGGAATATTTGTTGTCCAAATAAATCGGCAATAAAGCGGTATCGCATGGCTTTATAGATGGCTGAAATGAGGATAGTACTTTGCTTTGCATGTTTAATATTTGATCGTAGTCATTTCTAATGAAAAATATATTTACAATTCCATTCTTTGGAGTTATCTAGGGTGTCGTTATCAATTTATTTGAATTTGAGAATATCTTAACTCGAATTTCGCAAAATATTTGCAGCCTATGAAATTTGTGAAGAAATTTAGGCAAAGTGTATTAAGCACATTACTCAAAGCCAAACTTGGCGGGCTTAAAATCTTATCCCACCGATACTACAATCA